GTTACTTTTATTTTTCTTCTGAGATAAAAGTCAATCTGAACTGGACTTGTTATGTGTGAAGAATTCCTGTTGGAACACAGATAGCAGAGAAGAAACATGAGCTTTACTAATTCCTTCACATTGCTTCTTCGCCAACTACCAACGCAAGATCTGTGAGTGAAAATCAGCTTTGTGCTCTTCCTGTCTCTGTGGAATTAATTATTAAACTGTATTCACATTTGCATAATCCCCAGTGTGTTTCTCAGTAGTGTGTGCTGATGTGGACAGGAAAAAGCGAGGCCCAGACACCACTAGAGCAAGGCATGGAAGCTCCAGCAGAGGGATTCACTAGGTTGGTTGAAAGACATCTGGGACAAGAGTCCAGAGGAATGCTGTCAATTTGACTGTACATAACATATGATTCACAGCTTAGAGTCTATGAGCAGCAGCTGCTCTCAGTAGGCATCTTCTGCAGTGGTTCCCCACTGCTCTCCTGCTTGCCCAGCATGGCATTCATTTTAGAATTGGGGCCTGCGGTCAGACTAAACTTATCATATTCATGATATATGATTCACTGACCAACTAGCCAGTCCTAACCATTCATAAAAACACTGAAATGGTTATATTGTAACTTACATCTCATTGAAAGGTTAACAGGGTCTTTCTGTACAGTCATCAAAAGAAAAATGGTTTCTCTCTGTCATTCAGAACCATTGGTTCTACGCTGCTTTGATTTCTGCATAATCCATCATACTACCTATAGTGACCAAAGCCACCATCTGTTTTCTTCTTGGAGGACTGTATTCCTGAGAACATAAATTCATGGAGAGGAAAAGTCTGCATTATTCCTTCACCACTGCACAACCAGTGGTTAACAAGATGCACTGGATATTTGTTGAATAGCATCCTGGCTAGAGGCTCCCTGAAGCCACTCTGCCATCCATAACAGAGAACACAAAGTAAGTGAAGAAAGGGAAAAGGAAAAAATGATAGAAGAAAGTAGAAAAGAGAGAGAGAATCTTATTGCCTAGGGTATTTGAACCCTCAAATTTAATCTTGTCCATGTAGACAGTAGTGAATGGTGCCTTTAACTTAGTGAAGTATAGTGGAGTTTGATGTGCCAGGGAAGTATTCACCTACTAATACTGCTATATATATATTTAATATATCAAATTATATTATTTGATAATATCAAATTAAGATAATTCTCAAAAGTGCATACCTTAAAAGGTTTTTATATTACAGTCCAAAGTATAAAATGAATATGCCCTAGTCCATGTGAATGCACATAAATGACTGATGAATCTTTTCTGTAGAGCAATCTTAATTAATATAAATAGACAATACCCTTTCTTTTTCATCCCCCAATTCTGATGTGTAGTAATATGGGTGACAGGGCTGCGTCCCCAGCACCCCGGCTGCCTGGCTAGCTTATGCCCGAAATAACAACACACAAACTGTATTCATTTAATCACTGCTTGGCCCATTTCTATCTAGCCTCTTCTAGGCTAATTCTCACATATTAATTTAACCGATTTCTAATCATCTGTGTAGCGCCCCTAGGTGCGCTTACCGGGAAGATTCTAGCCTATGTCCATCCTGGGTCGGAGCTTCATCGCGTGTGTCTGCCCAGGAGGGGGGAGCATGGCGTCTCTGCTGAGGCGTCTGCTCCCGAGAGGAGAGCTGTGGAATCTGAGCTCACTTCCTCTTCCTCCCAGCGTTCTGTTCTGTTTAATCCTCCCACCTATCTTCTAACCAATGAGGGCCAAGCAGTTTTTTTTTTTATTTAACCAATGACCTTCCTCCATCACTGATGTAGGGTGGATTAGTCACTCAGTTATAATAAAGTATGGAAGAGAAAAACAGCAGTTTCATAGTACTGGCCTTCACTGTGTAAGAATAGTTAGTGTCCCTAGCCATATCCTCAATGGAAGTCGAATTCCTTCTGATGGGATGAGCTGAGGAGGGCACTTTACTTCAATGTCTCCTCCTGAGACTGTAAAGCCTTAAGCAGCACTCCACAAAACCACTGTGTCAGTAACAAGAAACCAGAAAAGACTGGGCCACTGAAGACTGGTGAGACCAAGGAAAAAAGGTGCCTAGGGCAAAATGGACAGACTATATACAGAAATTAGGCAACTGCACAAATCCCAGGCTCTTTCTAGCCCAAGGATTAGTTAGTTACCAGGAGTGTATGAAGACCGGTTGACTAGTTTTGACTAGTGTGCCACTGGAGGAAAGTTGTTGCAGGAGGCAGGATGGAACCAGATGGGAGACAGTGGGGCTCTGCAGTTCTTCTACAGTCTTAGATTCTTTCAGAAAGTTTATATTAAAAAAAAAATCTATAAAGAAAAATAGCTGAGGATACCTATGAAGACAAGCTCAAAAGGATAGCAACACAGCTGAGCTACATTTCTGCTCCCAATGTGAGATCATTCATTAGAAAACCTGGAAATAGGTGGTTTACTATAACTGAGCATTCACAAAAAAAAAAATGAATTCTCGTTATGTGTAAAAATGAATTAACTACCACTGCAGAGAAGGAAGAAGTTCATACTGCCCAGGCTTTACACTTTGAGTAGTATTAACTGTTAGGTACTAGGAATTACCAAGTCATTTCAAAACAGATCACTTGGGACATGGATACAGTGCCCAAAAATGGGGTATTTATTTTTATTGTTGTTGTTCAAACCCTTGTGATAGCAAGGCTTAATAAAGTTTCTCTGAACCCCATGGAAAGTTCTTAGAAGTCTCTTTCAAGATACCTTTACCAAAATGAATGATGATGGACTTCAGGAAGGAAAACACTTGATTTTCCTGTCTTGGCAAAAAAGAGCATAAAGATAGACACAAAAGAAAATATTCTGTTTAATATTATCCTTTGTAAGCTCATCCATTTTCTTGCAAATTTCAGTACTGAATTAGGGCTTCTCCTCCCCCGTGTCCTCAGTAGCATCTGTTGTGACATTTCTTGATGTTACTGCTCTGATTGGGTGAGACAGTATCTCAAAAGAAGTTCTAACGGATGGATTTGGAAAGTATATTAAGTTAAGAGGCTCAAACCTAGGAAGGCATAAACTGCACATTCTCTTTCATACAAACTTCCTAGCCTTCAACATATAGATATGAACATATGCATGACATACACGTATGTGTGTCTGTGTGTGTAATCATGGGTAAAATCTCAAAAGTAGAAAGGAGACAAAGAAAGGGTAAAATAGGTACTGAGGTAGGCAAACAGACAAATGGGCTATAAAAAAGTACACAGACTGGGAAAGGAGCTTACAAAAGGGAAGAAGGAACTGAAGGTAGCAGAGGGTGGGTACGGTTGGGGGGAAGGGAGCCAATAAAACATAAGTTTGAAAATACCATAATGATTTCTAATACTTAGTATGAAATCTAAAGATGTTTTAAAAAATTGAAATAATGGTGCATTGGTTAATCTAAAAGGGGTCAGAATATAATAATTTAATAATATAGGCAAATAGATATTATTGAGCCTGCCCTATCCTTAAAGAATTCAAATTACTTGGTTATTTGTGTGTGTGTGTGTGTGTGTGTGTGTGTACATGTATTTATATAAAAAAAACATAGGCATAGTGATATATGTCTATAATTCCAGTACTGGGAGGACAAAAAGATTCCTGGGAACTCAGTGGCCAATCATCCTGGCAATTAGTGAGTTACAGGTTCAGCATGTGCCCTGCCTCAACAACGAAGGTAGAAAATGATAAAGGAACACAAGGTTTAAGATTTTTTTCTTTTGGTCGTGTGGGGCAGCGAGTCATTAGAAACAAGTCAGGGTTTCCATCTGTACACTAAGGCTTCTCCTTCTACCTCCACCTTGCTCTAAAAACAGTTTGACTTGATGACATCATACACTAGAGGACATCTGAGGTATCTTAGGCATCACTTTCTGAACTGAAGGCAATCGCAGTACTTAGTTAAGTCAGGGAAAATGAGTGAACCTCTATCCAATGTATAAACTCATAGGCTAAATACATAGGTGCTGAGTACAGTCATAATTAGAATATTTTGTCTTGTGACATTGTGTACAGCACTAGCCAATATGCCCTGCCCTGCTGTCATCTTAAAGTCAGGCCTTCTTTAGTAGTTGGTACTGGGCTTCTCTGCCCAGTCCCATCTCCTCCAGGAGAATGAGACATTTGTGCTTGCTTTCTTCACCCCGACCCTTCTAGATCTGTCACAGATCCTGAATTATTTATTTCCTTCCACGATTCTCTGCCCTTCTAAAAATGTGACTTGGAAGCAGGAAGTAATTAACATCACACATATAGCACTTGGCACATAGTGGACCTCTCCACAAATGTTTTTACTTGAGTTAAATCAATGGATTTGGGAATGTGGAATGAACCAGAAGAGCTGGCAGCATATGGGAAGAGAAGTCCACACAAGCTGGTTCTTTATTCCAGGGGCTTTATACTTTCCAGGAATCCCAAATAAGAGTGTGAAAGAAAAGAACCAGCAGAGAGGAAAATCACTTTCTTCCTGTTCTCCTGGGACCATACATCTTCCATCACATGTCCACAGGCTTACAGAAAACTGTTCCCTGCCAGTCCCCGTACCCAGCTTCTCTATGCTCAGCACAGGAGTATGTAGCACAATTAATAAAAACCCAGAGACAGATATTGGGACTTAGTCTGAAGGTGTAAAAAGCAAAACTGTCAGTCACTGACTTTTACCTTTACCTCAGTCTGAAATGGTGATTCTACCTCCAGGAATCTCAGAATGAGACTGAAAGCTGTCTCTTCTCATTTTATATTCCTCTCTAGAGCTGGGCTCAAAGGCATGCACCACTACTGTCTACTTACTATGGCAAACTAGTGTGGTTACTGTGTTTAAAGGTGTGTGTTATTACTGCCTGATCTGTAAGGCTGACCAATGGGGTTGTTTTAGACTCTGATCTGCAGGTAACCTTCATTTATTGAAATACAAATGAAATATCACTACAGTAAACTGAAGATATGAACCACGTCCCACCAGGACACTTCTTGACCCACCTTTAGATCAGACACATCTCTGTAGCACTGCTCAGAGCGAGTGTGGTCTGACAGCTGTACATTCCAGAAGCAGGGGAGCTGATACACCAGGAAGGGGTTTTGTTTGATGACAGCATTGAAAATATCCTGGAATAAAAGCCAAGGACACAGTCAAGTGAGTGGGCAGGTTTAATTTACAGGAGGACATCTCTCAAACACCATGTTCTGGAAATAGGATTGCTCCCATTGTGGACAGTTTTCCCTACTGCTTTCTTCAGGAACCAATGGTTAACGTCTGGGTAGGAGCAGAGGAATGTCATAGGCCAAACAAGCTCACTTGATGCTTGGGGGTCCAGCTGGTCATAATCCAGTGAGGTCACACTGGGCCGATAGGTAATGACTTTCCCGTGTTGACTATCATGAAATAAATCAAGTCTCTTATCTTCCCCTTATCCTACTCTAGGTAGGAGCCCTGTCATATCCGGAGCCTTCATGAGAGGAAACAGTGTGATGCTAAGTGGCTCAACTCATCCCGAGGGTTGACACAAATGATGGATCCTTATTTCAAGTAGCTCTTTCTCAGGGCTTTTGGTTAGCCTAGTGATGGATGCTCGTTGAATTTCTGAAGGCCACAGTACCTAGAATGCAACTCCCTATTTCAAACTCCTATTCCAAGTTGTCTAGAAAGGAATGTTTTAAACCATTTTTGAGCTCCCTTCAAGCCTAATATGTAACCCCACTTATTAACCAGCTACTTGACAGGTGGTTCTGGGAGGTGAATTATGGGCCTTCATGGCACAAGATTGCTAAACAAACTATCCTCATTGGAAATATTTTACACACACACACACAATTGCTAACTTTGGGGGCATACACTCAGGTCACTGCTACGTAATTTGAAATATAAGGACAGAGGACAACTTTTGCCTCAGGTCCTAGACAGCATCTGAGTTATTTTATTTTAGTTTTTCACTCACTCATGCTGTATCTCATTGCTTGGAAAAGGAGGTCAGTTTTTGTCTCCTAGGGAAATACTGAATAATAATGCATTTACAAAAAAGAAATAAAAAGTTATATAACCTTGCAGATTTTCTTGTTTCCTCTTTGTATTTGAAAACTTTGTGGGACTCTGACAAAGGAGTCGTGAGGCATGAACTAATTTCGGAAAGGAAGAAATGAAAACCCAGAGAAAGCATCTTCACATCTTAAGATGATCAGCAACATCACAAGAAGGTAAAATCTAAGTGAGAGGTCTTGAGTTCTGAGGTCAAATAGATTCATGCCTTTCCCAATCAAAATGAGACACGTGTTTTTATAAAATCAGTTAATCATCTGTTGGAGTTGAAGGATGTTCTCAGACCGTCTGCTTAATTTCTCTTTTTTCCCTGCTTAAATGAGTTTAGGGCTACCAGGATGAGGGTCACAATAATGGTTTTATCCTACCCATTGCATAATTCTTCTCAGATGCATGTGAATTATCTGGGAAATACACCATGGCATTTTCTGGTCATAGGGAGCATGTACATTCCACACTGGTGGTAAAGATGGTATTGATGCCTTTTCACATAGCAGACTATCATCCACTTGTGACTCTGATTCCATAAACAATGAAGTTTCTGAGTAAAGAGCCTGGACTTTAACACTGAAACACGGGTTAGTGGTTTAAAGCACTGGCTGCTCTTCCAGGAGAGCCAGGGTTTGATTCCCAGCACATGGAGGATTATAGGCACATGTAACCCTCAGTTGTAGAGGATCTGACAGCCTCTTCTGGCCTCCATGGGCACCAGGTACAAATGAAGTCCAGAGACATACATGTGGGCAAAATAAGTTTACACATAAAGCAAATAAAGAAAAAATATTGGGTCCTTTACTGTTATCTTCCTACATGTCTTAGTATACAATGTTCACTGAATGTCTTTTGATGGAGTGTATGAAAGAAACAATGAATTGAGACCATTCAATTATTAACAGAAGTCTTTTGGGGGCTGGAGAGATGGCTCAGTGGTTAAGAACATTCCCTGCTCTTCCAAAGGTCCTCAGTTCAATTCCCAGCAACCATATTGTGGCTCACAACCATCTGTAATGAGGTCTGGTGCCCTCTTCTGGTCTGCAGGCATACATACAGACAGAATAGTGTGTACATAAAAAAAAATACAGAAGTCTTTCTGCTGTGCTTTGGCATCTGGAATATTGTACCAAAGATCCACATGCTAAACTACTAGTCCTAAATGCTGAATTACCACTGAAGGTGCTTAAACCTTTGATAGGTAGGATATAGTGGAAAGTTTTAAGGCCACTGGGAGAACATATGTGAGGGGGACTGTGGAAACTTAGTGTCTTCTTTGATGTCCTTATTGTAAGGTGAGCAGATAGGTAAGATCCTCCATGTGCTCACCAGTGTTATGGTTTTATACCAAGAGCAATATGGTCAACCAACTATGGGTTAACCTACTTAACTGTGATCCAAAATGAACCGCATAATCTAGGCATAGTGGCATATACACGCCCATCCCTGAGCTTGGGAAACAGAGGCAGAAGAATTGCTAGTTCAAAACAGCATGGAGTATACCCTGGGAATCTGTTTGAGAAAGAAAACAATGAACTAAACAAAACGGTAACAAAAAACACTTTCTCCGTGTTTACTGTAGTAACAATACAACAAGCACTAAGAGGAGGGTACTCAGGTGTATGGATTCCTGTCACTGGCCACTCACCTGGTCAGCCAAAGAGGTAGACAGCATGCCCATGAGTTCCCTCTCTGCTGTCAGCCTCCACATCTGTTCCCATTTCATCTTGCGCAGCTTATCCAGAAGCAATAGTATGACTCCTGGGCAACAGCATAGGATAGAAGAACAAGAGCAGCAATGAGACAGAACTAGAGACACTAGCCACTCTGGGACAGCCTAATCACCTAAAAGGACGAGCTTTCCCTCCCAAATCTCAGGAGTGAGCCTTCACCATACAGGGTGCATGGCTTGAAGATGAGTCCTGGCCTCAGCACCAGGCTCTGCCAGATACTGAACAAGTGTATATATTATTACAATTTCTGTCTGCCTTCATTTAAGCTGCTACAAAGTGTAAAACAAAATCACATCTCTGAAACATCCCCACTACATAGGAAAGAGTATTAAGGTGAATGAGTAATGCTTAGTACTTTTTGGAGATATTTTGTGGTGATAGTTGCACTACTGAATTAAAATAATAAGTTTCTATTATTTATTTACTATTTACAGATTATATCACAGTAATAACAAGAGATACTGCTGTCAACTTGATGTGCACTACATTTCTCACAAATAGTAGCTTCCTTTCATACAAAGGCACCCTCAGTATGGCTGATAAGTGGCACTTGCACAACACACACCATTTGCTTTTTTCAGGAAAAATACAACTTTTCTACAACTTTAATTTACTCCAATTACATGTTTTGTTTCACTTACTAAACATTTCTTTTTTGTTTGAGAGTTTGCCTTCATGTATGCATATGTGCATTTGGTATTCACAGAGACCAGAAGAGGGTCCCTGATTTTCTGCAATTTGAATTACAGAAGGCTGTGAGCTGCTGTGTGGGTGCTGGGAATAGAACTCAAGTGATGTTCAAGAGCAAGTGCTATTAACTTATGAGCCGCCATTTTAACCCCTTCTAAGTACATTATTTGACAGAACTGACCAGTCACACCTCCTTGCCTAAGTGTTCCTTACTTGAGAACTGCTTTCCTTGGGTCAATGATAATTAATATGCGTGTCAATTATTGGGAAGGCAGTGCTCATGTTGGGTTTTTATTTTTATTTTTTTTTCTTTCCATTTTTTTATTGAGAAAAGGAGAAAAAAAACAAGTTTCCACCTCCTCCCAGCCTCCCATTACCCGCCCCCTCCTCCCACCCTTCTCCCCCTCTCCCCACTCCTCTCCCCATCCCTCTCCAGTCCAAAGAGCAGTTAGGGTTCCCTGCCCTGTGGTAAGTCCTAGGTCCTCCCCTCTCCATCCATTTCTAGGAAGGTGAACATCCAAACTGGCTAGGCTCCCACAAAGCCAGCACATTACGTAGTAGGTTCAAAACCCCGTGCCATTGTCCTTGGCTTCTCATCAGCCCTCATTGTTCGCGATCCTCAGAGAGTCCAGTTTTATCCCATGCTTTTTCAGTCACAGTCCAGCTGGCCTTGGTGAGCTCCCAATAGATCAGCCCCACTGTTTCAGTGGGTGGGTGCACCCCTCGTGGTCCCGACTTCTTTGCTCATGTTCTCCCTCCTTCTGCTCCTCATTGGGACCTTGGGAGCTCAGTCCAGTGCTCCAGTGTGGGTCTCTGTCTCTATCTCCATCCATCACCAGATGAAGGTTCTATGATGATATGCAAGATATTCGTCAGTATTGCTATAGGATAGGGTCATTTCAGGTTCCCTATCCTCAGTTGCCTAAGGAACTAACTGGGGACCTTGGCTTGGGCATCTGGGAGCCACTCTAGGTTCAAGTCTCTTGCCAACTCTAAGGTGGCTCCCTTAACTAAGAATTGTGCTTCCGTGCTCCCCTATCCAACCTTCCTTTATCCCAATCCTCCTTTTTCCCCAAGTTTCCCCCATTCTCCCCTTCTCCCTTTACTCTCCCCATCTCCCCTTACCACCATCACATCCCACCCCCAAGATCTCAATTTTCTTCCCGGCCATTTTGTCTACTTCCCATAGCCAAGAGGACAACTATATGTTTTTCCTTTGGTTCACCTTCTTACTTAGCTTCTTTGGGATCACCAATTGTAGACTCCGTGACCCTTGTTTATGGCTAGAAACCAATTATGAGTGAGTACATCCCATGTTCCTCTTTTTGGGTCTGGGTTACCTCACTCAGGATAGTGTTTTCCATTTCCATCCATTTGCATGCAAAATTTGAGAAGTCATTGTTTTTTACCGCAGCGTAGTACTCTAGTGTGTATATATTCCATACTTTCTTCATCAATTCTTCCTTTGAAGGGCATCTAGGTTGTTTCCAGGTTCTGGCTATTACAAATAATACTGCTATGAACATAGTTGAACAAATGCTCTTGTCATATGATTGGGCATCTCTTGGGTATATTCCCAGGAGTGGTATTGCTGGGTCCAGGGGTAGGTTGATCCCGAATTTCCTGAGAAACCGAAACACCGATTTCCAAAGTGGTTGCACAAGATTGCATTCCCACCAGCAATGGATGAGGGTACCCCTTCCTCCACAACCTCTCCAGCAAAGGCTATCACTGGTGTTTTTGATTTTAGACATTCTGACAGGTGTAAGATGGTATCTCAAAGTTGTTTTGATTTGCATTTCCCTGATCGCTAAGGAGGTTGAGCATGACCTTAAGTGTCTTTTGGCCATTTGAACTTCCTCTGCTGAGAATTCTCTGTTCAGTTCAGTGCCCCATTTTTTAATTGGGTTAATTAGCATTTTAAAGTCTAGTTTCCTGAGTTCTCTATATATTTTGGAGATCAGACCTTTGTCTGTTGCGGGGTTGGTGAAGATCTTCTCCCAGTCAGTAGGTTGCCTTTTTGAATTGGTGACAGTGTCCTTTGCTTTACAGAAGCTTCTCAGTTTTAGTAGGTCCCATTTATTCAATGTTGCCCTTAAAGTCTGTGCTGTTGGGGTTACACATAGGAAGCGATCTCCTGTGCCCATCTCCTGTAGGGTACTTCCCACTTTCTCTTCTATCAGGTTCAATGTGTTCTGACTGATATTGAGGTCTTTAATCCATTTGGACTTGAGTTTTGTGCACGGTGATAGATATGGGTCTATTTTCATTCTTCTACAGGTTGACATCTAGTTATGCCAGCACCATTTGTTAAAGATGCTTTCTTTCTTCCATTGTATACTTTTGGCTCCTTTAACAAAAATGAGGTGTTCATAGGTTTGTGGGTTAAAATTCGGATCTTCTATACGATTCCATTGGTCGACTTCTCTGTTTTTATGCCAGTACCACATTGTTTTCATTACTGTAGCTCTGTAATAGAGTTTGAAGTCAGGAATGGTAATGCCTCCAGACAATCCTTTATTGTATAGGATTGTTTTGGCTATCCTGGGTTGTTTGTTTTTCCATATAAAGTTGATTATTGTCCTCTCAAGATCTGTGAAGAATTTTGATGGAACCTTGATGGGGATTGCATTGAATCTATAAATTGCCTTTGGTAGAATTGCCATTTTTACTATGTTGATCCTCCCAATCCAAGAGCAAGGGAGGTCCTTCCATTTTCTGGTATACTCCTCAGTTTCTTTCTTCAATGCCTTAAAGTTCTTGTCAAATAGATCTTTCAATTCCTTGGTTAGAGTTACCCCAAGATATTTTATGCTGTTTGTGGCGATCGTGAAAGGTGAAGCTTCTCTGATTTCCCTCTCTGCTTCCATATCCTTTGTGTATAAGAGGGCAACTGATTTTTTGGAGTTGATCTTGTATCCTGCCACATTACTAAAGCTGTTTATCAGCTGTAAAAGTTCTTTGGTGGAGTTTTGGGGGTCGCTTATGTACACTATCATATCATCTGCAAATAACGAAAGTTTAACTTCTTCCTTTCCAATTCGAATCCCCTAGATCCCCTTATGTTGTCTTATTGCTATTGCTAGAACTTCAAGCACTATATTGAAGAGGTATGGCGAGAGTGGACAGCGTTGTCGTGTTCCTGAGTTTAGTGGGATGGCTTTAAGTTTCTCTCCATTTAATTTGATGTTAGCTGTCGGCTTTCTGTATATAGCTTTTATTATATTTAGGTATGACCCTTGTATCCCTAATCTCTCCAAGACTTTTATCATAAAGGGATGTTGAACTTTGTCAAATGCTTTTTCAGCATCTAATGAAATGATCATATGGTTTTTTTTCTTTCAGTTTATTTATATGCTGGATTACATTGATAGATTTTCGTATGTTGAACCAGCCCTGCATCCCTGGGATGAAGCCTACTTGATCATAATGGATAATTTTTCTAATGTGTTCTTGGATACGGTTTGCCAGTATTTTGTTGAGGATTTTTGCGTTGATGTTCATGAGTGAGATTGGCCTGTAATTCTCTTTCTTGGTTGAGTCTTTGTGTGGTTTTGGTATCAGAGTGACTGTAGCTTCATAAAAGGAATTTGGCAATGACTTTTCTCTTTCTATATTGTGAAATACATTAAGGAGTATAGGTATTAGTTCTTCTTGGAAGTTCTGGTAGAATTCCGTATTGAAACCATCTGGTCCTGGGCTTTTTTTGGTAGGGAGGTTTTTGACAACCTCTTCTAATTCTTCGCGACTAACAGGTCTGTTTAGATTGTTCATCTGGTCCTGGTTTAACTTTGGTATATGGTATTTATCTAAAAAAGTGTCCATTTCCTTTACATTTTTCAGTTTTGTGGCATATAGGCTTTTGTAGTAAGATCTAATGATTCTCTGAATTTCCTCTGTGTCTGTGGTTATGTCCCCCTTTTCATTTCTGATCTTATTATTTTGCAAATTCTCTCTCTGCCGTTTGATTAGTTTGGATAGGGGTTTGTCAATCTTGTTGATTTTCTCCAGGAACCAGCTTTTTGTTTCATTGATTCTTTGTATTGTTTTCTGTGTTTCTATTTTGTTGATTTCAGCCCTCAGTTTGATTATTTCCAGTCTTCTACTCCTCCTAGGTGAGTCTGCTTCTTTTTTTTCTAAAGCTTTCAGGTGGGCTGTTAAGTCTCCAATGTGAGCTTTCTCTGTTTTCTTTAAGTGGGCACTTAGTGCTATGAACTTTCCTCTTAGGACTGCTTTCCTAGTGTCCCATAAGTTTAAGTATGTTGTTTCTTTATTTTCATTGAATTCAAGGAAGACTTTAATTTCTTTCTTAATTTCTTTCTTAATCCAGGTATGGTT